CACCCAAGAAAACAACATGTTTGAGATACAAACACATAGCAAATATTCATAACTTCATAAACAAAGATTGGAGAGGAGACAATACCTTCGCTAATTCAAACATGGCTTCCAGGGCTGGCTTATCTTCCACAAAGTCATCTTTCACGTCTGCATCCAGGGTTAGGTACGCCAGACCTTCCACAGCCCACTTCCTGGTGCGGATGTCAATGCTGGTGTTGCACAGCCACCTGAACGAGACAAAAGCTCCATCATTTTACCTGAATGATGAGAACAGATTTACAGGAGAGGAAGAGGCAAAACCCCTAAGGGTGCTGGGGAACTGTGCTTTATTTTTACCGGCATCTTCAGACCCCATGCAGCAGACTCAGGAAACCATAGATCCTAATGGTGAAAGTTATCTTTGGATACAAAGTTCCCCTAGGGAATCTGGGTGGTGGTGGTGTACTTATGCATGTTATAAGAGAGACCTTTAATATATTATCCTTTTAGGCAATAGGATTATCTTCTTTGGTTTCTTAGCTGGTGAGTGAGTGAGGAACCAGATGGACTTTGATGCTAACAAAAGTGAAGTAGGGACGGGCAAACAGAAAATGAGGTATGAGTTCTAGGCATGGATACCTAAACGTTTCCAGAAATGCTAGAAACCTCTGTTCAGTATCATCTATTCTAGATGTTATCAGTGACTCAGTGTTAGTACTTTCCCTCAGTTGACTAAAAAGTTGTCTATGTATCTGAGGACCTCCCCAGTAGAGATGGTACTGAAAAATATTTTGGAAAGAAAGGAGTGGAACACAAGTAACAGGTGAGGAATCCCAAGAGCACCTTCCAGTTCTGCTTACTTTCGGCACTGTTTTGCCAGCTTTTCTGTGGATCCCTCCGCAAATTGTCGCAGGCCATAGTCAGTGCCCCCGGCTGATCCCAGCTTGCAAAGACCCTGAGAAAGAGATTGAAAGGATACTATGTAGCTAGATACAGGAATATGTAACGTTCTCAGAAGTCCAGCTGAAATTTAAGAGAAAGGTAATGAACTGTCTTCCACATAAACGGATACAGATTACAGCAAAGTTCTGTATTGCTTTAAGCAGGTTTTCCATTTATATTTTTGAAGCCCTGACTCCAGTCACATTATAGGAATGAAAAGACTTTAGTCCCCGTGCACAAGCCCTAAAAGAAACTGCTATTCCACTGCCTCATGGAGAGGAATCCAAGATGGCAGACACAAGGCGTATGAGACTCTTGTTGCATTACAAAGCTTGTTCTCTGCGGAGACCTGCAAGCTGCCATGCCCTCCTCCTTCCCCAAGCTCTTTAGCGGAGGAACGCGAGTGCAAGCGCTTACGGAGAGTACCCTAGCTGAGCAGCGGATGCTATTACTTCGCAGGATTGCGAACCTAGATTGAATCCAGAGGTAGAGCTCTTCCTAGGACAGGATGACAAAGTGTTGGCAGATAGCAGAGCAGGCTGAGGGCTGAAAACTTACCACGAGAGCTCGAATTTTGATCTTCTCATTCTTGGTCTTCTTGTAGACTTCCTTCAGCAGCGTCACTCCGTTGGTGATGATGAAGGTGGCCCGGCTCAGCTTGGTGGAAGCATGGATGAGGGCCTCCACAGCCACCAGCTGGTCGATCTCCCTTTCAGAGCCACACAAAGCCACCATCATCTCCATGACACCCGTCATGCCCAGCAACTTGTTGCCCAAGTCAAAAGGCCCTTGCATGATCCCAGACACCGTCTGGACGGCATGGAGAGTCTTATCCATGTCCTGAGGGTCAACCTTGCTCCTGTAGGGGGCAGCAGAAAAAAAAATCAGCAGGGGGTGGGATTAGAGGGGGAGACTGCAATGTTATTGTCAGAGCCTCTGGTGCATTACCAGTCTCTTTCCTTGAGGGCCACGCATTGTGGCCACCATCCTCTATCAAACAGGGTTCCATTACCAAACTGGAGTTTAGTCCAGCACCTTTTATCCCGGCGACCAACTCTGAACATCCCCTTATTTTTATCCACAAGATAGGAACAGTGCAGGAAAAAGCAATGTGAGTTTTCCACAATACCCCACCCATGAGTAGAGGAACTTCCTCTGAACTATGGAGATGGAACTACCTTCTAATGCCTTAATACAATCTGGCAGTTAGTTCAAAGAAAAGGACTCCCTTTCTCTTTTCAGGTAATTTGGATGATATGGACACAGGTTCACTCAGAACAGAAATGAAATGTACATTGTGGCCCAGTGGAGGAAAGCACCAGACCGGGAGTCAGCCCCAGTTTCTATTCCCAGCTCTACCCTTGACTTGTGTGACCCTTAGTGAGGCACTTCACCTCCCTATATCTCCGTTTATCCATCTGTGGATTAAAAACGCTGAGCCTCCATGCAAGTGCTTGCAGAGGTATGAGTGAAAAGCACTTTATAAGTGCAAGATGTGGATTACGTCACTCGGAAGAGGGCCTGCGTTCAGTCACTGATGACTGTGCAGTGGCTTGTAGGCTGGATTTCAATGGCAGCCTGAAGAGGAGAGGCTCCGTGTTTCCATTATCAATCTGTTGAACCATTCAGTGTGTAGCGAGGCAGCGTGGCCTCCCTTTGAGCCAGAGGGGGAGGGACCACTTTCTCCACCCAGCTGGGCGGAGTCTGGCCAGCTGCGGCCCTCCCACCGGAAGTTGAGAGGCGGGGCAGGAAGTACAAAAGGCAGAGAGCCCCTAGCCCAGTAGAGGTCGAGCCAGGGAAGGAGACAGTCACGTCCTGCTTGCTGCCGAGCCAGGCGGCGGCCTTGACCTGGGGAGGCCCGAGGCGGAGCTGAAGCTGGTAGGACTGCTGGTGGCCGAATACCCTGACAAACCGGAGACCACTGAGCCAGATCTGGAACTTGGGTAGGAAGTAGCCCAAAGGTTTAGTTGATGGTGTTGTGGCTTAACAGCCAGTCAGTGTGTTGGTGGAGGATCCCAGCTGACCCCTGCCACCCCATGATTGCCTCCCTGCCTGTTTTGCCAGCGCTCCCCTGCCTAAGGGTTAGCACTATAGAGTGTTTACCGGCTCTACCCTGCCTAGGGCCTCTTGACTGTTGGGAATTAACCCTGTTACAAAGGCCGGGACGCTGCACCTGGTGACGTAGTCCTCGCTGCCTAGTGCTTTTCCGGTTGCCTCCTCCCTTGAAGAGCTCTAGCCTGCAAAGAGCTTTTTAACTCCAGTGGAAGAATAAAAGACACAGGGCACATTTTATTTTGGCCCAGTCCCCACTGCTAAGAATCTGAAAGCATTACACAGCATCTGCTCCAATCCCAGATCCTTGAGAGCTCGACTCTGCATTTCTGGGTGTCCGTCCCCATGAAGTGCTCCATCCCCGCCCTGACTCACTTGATGTACTCTTCACAGATCTCGCGGAAGTTATCTCGCTCGGGATCACATCGCAGGTCATCATACAGCTTGTTCAGGAGAATGGAAGCGGTCATCCGGGTGTTCTCCGTTAAGGGCAGGCAGTTGGGCAGCTCGGGAACCTGGCCTACGACTTTCAATATCTTTTTTAGACCTGGGACACAGAATTAATAGGGTTTTTAGAGAGGACAGGCATGTGCCAAATTTATGTACTGTGCAGCGGACGTTCTCCTGCACCAAACTGTACAGATGGCAATATTTTCAGACACCTGGCCTATAAACTAACTTAATACAATCTTGTTAATCCTTAGACAAACATGTAAGCAATTGATTTGCTGATGCAAGTAAGGACTACCCATGACAACAAAGTTGGCAGAATTGAGCCGTTAAACAGTAGTCATAAAATTATGGGCAAAATAACATTATCTTCTTCACAGTACTTGTTCATCAACTGGATCTGTCCTTTATTTAAAGAGACCCCAAACCTGCTGCTTTTAGTGGCATGGAGGCCTCGCAATGTTAGAGGAGATTCTGGATTACATTTTCATAATAATCTTTGTTAAAAGAAGGTTAGGGTTGAAGTGTTTCGGTGGAGCCCAGCTCAGCCCCCCAAACACAGGATTTTAAAAAAAACCCACAAAAAGTTCTTCCTTTTTGAATAATATCCAGAGTTTGGAGTCTCACCACATCACATTACTTTTCTAGATGGGGATTGTTTTAAATGTCCCTAAGAGAGGACAGTTTGGGAAGTTTTGCTGCACGTGACACACATTCAAGTCTAAGTGTGGGTCAAGGGCATTCACCGCTGTCAATGACGAAGATGGTTCTAGAGTTGTCGGGGATCCTCAGATCCTTTCTTGGTATGTTCTTGCTGAGCAGGTTGAGAGCCTGGTCCCGACCTTGCCCAGACACCTTCTTACTGACCAGCATGTCCAGCAGGTGCATTGTGATCATCTTCAAATCCTTCTTCGTGTCTGCGCAAAAGACCCGACAGCAGCAGGTTAAAAGAAGCGGCACTTGGAAGGCGGATTACCCTACTGAATACCGCTTTTGAATGGTTATTTTACTAGAATGTACATGGGGCTGTGTCCTAGCCAATGTGTCAATTTCATACAAGTGCAGAAAAGCATTATGATTGCTCATTCTAATTATGGTTCAGGGGCCTGCAGGTCTTCTGAATAAAGATGTTTTTAACTGTGCTTGTTGCTGGATACTATGTAGCCTAGCCCCCTGGCCTCAGTGTTGCAAATCCACCCACAGGCAACTAAAAGCAGAATTTGCAGGATCTACTGTTCAGTGCAATGGGAACCCGAGATCTCTTCATATCTCGGCCATCATTCAGTGGTTACATAGAATTAATTACCCAGCACCAGAGCGGCTTCTTTCCCATGTTCCTCTTTCTCTCCCTCCCCTGATAAGGAGTCTGTAATGACTTGTAGGAGATTGCAAACAGCCATAGAGATTTCTTCATTATCCACAGCCATCCACATACAAATTTTATCAA